GAGCATTCACACACATCGAGGCATATGGGGTGATTGGACTTGCCAAAGTAAAGATAATTTCTATTATCTTATGTGTCTCTGGGATATTCATCAAAACAAGAAAGTCAAAATTGCTACACAGGTTTGCTAGATCGATCAACTGGCCGAAGGCGCTTAACGCAAATGCGCAGAAGATGATAAAAGACTGAATCATCGTATCTTTTTTTTCGACTCACGTGGGTGGCTTAGATATCGTGCACAGTAAAACGTCATCCGCAATAATACGTCACTGGGTAGTGTGATCCACCGCATCTGCAGTCGTTATTTTTTAGAGGATCTATTAATAACCCCGGCCAAGAGCAATATTTTTGTATTGCTATAGTGATGAACTTTCCCGAAAGTTCTGGTATGTTTTTTACTCGAAGATTCTGGTATAATTTTTATTGACATGAATTAATTAGCCCTGACTTGTATTACGCAGATCATGGTGATAGAACGAAATGAATATGGAAATCAGCATGATCTTCGAGCGCTTGATGCTGATAAACGGTAGATTTTTATTACCTTACTAGCATTACTAACGTTAGCGTATTCAAATTACATGTATAGGCTAATCGCACATTAATCTGTTTTTGAATAGGAATTAATAATACATGTATAATTCGTCATCTACGGATCTCGATCCATGATGAACAAATATTCCGATTTTTATTCTTTTTTTTGTGATTACAATTGAAATAGGGGTAGGGTAATAATAACTATTCTACATAACGAACTTCCTTTTTTGGGGAGGCTGTGAACTTAAACAAAGATACCCACATGCGATCTTCTGTTTTGCAAGAGATCTTAGAAGTAAACGGAAAATTTTGAGACACGGCATTGCTCCATTAGTGTTACATTAAGTTGTCATAGAACCGTAATTTGTCGGATTTACTTTTAAGCCGTATTGTTAACTTAATGGAGAGACATTTGTTATTAGACGGGATCCAGGCCGTTATAATGGCTTTAGCTGAAAAAATATAATTATGAAAAATATAGTTATGACAAATACACGTAATTTTTATTAAATCGGGTTAAATTCTCTTTTTGCGCATAGTAGGCATACAGTATAAAATAAACCTTTTTCCCAGCGCATTTACGCAAAATAACTATTGCTATTAAAAAAATCAAGCGATATTACCTAAAAAACTTGATCCACCAATAAAATCTCAATAAAATTACTACGCCTAATCATGTCCAGTTTGTCATTGCTCAACTCTTCAGAAGCCATGTCATTTTTGGCCTTAACCGTCATTTTTTTGTTCATTAGTCCAGCGATATTCGTAGGAATCGTCACCATGTATGAAAATCTAAAACAAAAGATCTCTAATGAACTTTCCGCACATGTCATTAAAATTCTCATCGATCTTGGTATACTAAATAATATACCGGGAAAGAGATCACTTCATGACCAGATCTCTACTGAACTTAATGATAAATTTGACACATGTATTTCCGATATTAATTCTATTTTCACTGAGAAGCTCGACAGAATCAATAATGATCTTAATAATAAACTTACTGCGGAAAACAAGGCACGTGATGATAACTTCACTAAGGAGACGCAGAAAATCTTTTCAATGATCAGTACTGTTACCGAAAGGCTTGATAGGATCGAAAAAGCCTGTCATAATGATTTTGGAAACATTTCGTCCGAATTTACATCAATCAAAGCTTCTATTGAAATTCTTCAAAATGATTTGGCCCAACGTTATGCGGTTGTCCAAAGAGCCGATTTCGATCAACAAAGCGTGTTCAATGAATCTGAAACTAATGAATCTGAATTGGGAAGTTCGCTAAACTCTGCCTCAGCTTCAACTAGTTCAAGCTCTTCTTCTGGAGGTTCCAATTTATCTGGAATTCCAGATATTGCATCGGACATCAGAATCCGCTTTAAACAACATTTCGATCAGCTTATGAAGGCGAGGAATTATACTATTGAGGAGATGTGCTACTCGGTAGTAGTTGATATTCGTAGTCTTGGAGGGAATATTAAAATCTCAACAGTGAAAAATTTTTATAGTAGTGTTGGTCACAGTACAGTTCCTACTGTTAATCAGATAAACGCATGGGTAAATAGTTTTAATAATAATAATGCGGAGTAGTGGAGAAGGAACTGCCAATATATGGGTTAAGGCTCAGCAGGCATTTATGCTTTATTCCTCCCTTGAAACAACCTGCTACTCTATTATTTTTACTTTCATTTTTACTTAGCCGGCTGGCTCTTTCTCACAAATTACTTTACAAAAATATAATAAAGATTGTACTTTGAGTTTTTTAAACATGTTTCGTGTTTTATGCTTTAGCACCTTCGGTCAAGTGATATTGATATTTATTTTTTTATTAATTACATTTGCTTTCGCATTTTACTGCATCGCACTTACAGTTATGAAAAAATACAAAATTTACTAATCTAATATAGCTATTTACAGATATGAAAAAATCCCGCTTTAATACAGAATAGCAAACTATAAAAATCACTCTTGATCCGGCTCATTATAATTAATATAAATATTAATCGTTTCAGCACTCTGAGAAAATAAGGGCGTCACGGGTCTAGAACCAGAAGAAGGTGGTCTTGATAGAGAGGGTGTTGTTGGACGCGATCTATTAGGAGAAGGAATCGCTTGAGGAATTCTTGATGGTTGTCTTCTACTTGTGTTAGATGATGTTGTTCCTATATTAGCTACATTAGGACGTTGTGTTTCTAGAAACAATAAGCATTTTAGGGTTTATCTTTTTCATATACATGACAGCGCAAGCGCAAAGAAGAATATCACAAAATAAATACCAGATTCTTTCTAAAATTCTGTAGAGAACTCTTCGTAATAATGTTCTCCAATAAGACTTCTCTTCTTCTTTTTACCCCTGCCTTAGCACCTGCCATAGCTTCTTTATAGGCCTTAGTCGTCTATATTTAACCAAAGATATCAGATCAAAGCCGAGTAAAATAATCATATCAAATGCTTTGAATGCACTTACATAGTATGCTCAGGTTAGAGTTAAAAATTTCTTATTACAATCTCCCCTAGTGAAGTAATTAGTATTATTTACTCAGTTAATTTCATTCGCAATATCTTCCCAGAAGTCTTTCTTATTACGATTTGGAGTTCAGTGGTATACTTTGTTTCCATTTTTACGTTCATCAATAAGTATTCAGGTTTGTTCATCATTCCACTGTGCAGACATTTTTACGAACAAGAAAAAGTTTTATTGAAGAGGTGAGGTAGCGTGATAAGCAAGAAGGGCTTGCTTTTATGTGACATGATTTAAATGAGCAACGCAATGAGCTGTGAATAAATTAGCGTCGTAATTGTATTAAGGCTAAAAAATATAATGATCAATCTAATGATTAATCGAATAATAAAGGTGGCTTAGTTACTGCGCAAATCTGATTGGCCGATCCTCGTAACTTGAGTTGTGGAAAGATTGCGAGGAAGTGCCGGGAACTGTCTGGGAGCTAGGATGATACAAATTTTTATGTTATACATTATTCCTGTTAATCACGAGAGATCCACAAACCACATGTAAATATAAAATTAGCTTAGCCGGCTAAATATAAATCCCTATAATCAAATAAAAATGAATTTGAGTTTAGTAATATGTAATTCCACCAAAAACGATAAAGTTGCTTATAAAATTGAATCTGATATTTATTAGAGTATAATATTGCTAAATCAGCTAAAAACACTATAAATCAATAAAACACTATTTTATTGCTTAAACATTTATAAAGATAGATTTAGATAGTAATGCTTACTATAAACTTTGTTTGCCTGATCGTGATAATAAATATAATAAGATATTAAAAGTAATACAGTTTTTACAACATAAATATGATAATGAAACACCAGAAATGTGATGCTCTCATATTCGTGGTCCATTTAGAAAAATACTTGAAGAGAACCCAGAAATATTTTTTAAGAATGGATATATTCGCATGTATGCAAAGTTTTATGAAGATGGTAAAGGGTTTTATCCTAGCGAAAATCTAACAAATTATATATATTGTAGTATCTGTGACTCCCTAGTATTCATTCCTAAAAGACTTATAAGCGAATTTCTCTATTGAGATGGTTACTTGAAGAGATGTATTACTAAAGTTACTAGTTCAATCGAACATGCAAGAAAAAAAGAAATTCTCCAATCTATTGATAGAAGGGAATTTAATATCTGGCAATATAAACAGTATATATTACAAGAAGAGGCTGAAATGAAACGTCTTCAGCTAGAGCTTTCATCTCAATCTACCCCATATTCAGAAAAGAACAAATTGGCATCAGTATCATATGATTATGATGGTCATTCAACTGGCTATAAAGCTTACCTTTCAGCTAAAGCAACAGTAGCAAAAAATACTATGTCAAGTGCTCCAAATTTCGAGCCAGCTTATATTCCACCTGCCAGACAAGAAATGGTTTCGCCAACTTCTTATCAATCATTGGCTCCAAATGAGACCATAAGCGAAATATTTATCTCATCTCAGTATGCTAAACAAAATAACTTATTACCATCTATAGACCATCTTAATCAGCCCGCATTAAGATTGAGAGATGGTACAAAAATCACATTCGTTTAACTGGTTTAACTGACTGAGAAATATATTAATTATAGACTATTGAGGATTAATATTATTTAGCTAAAGGCGCAATGTATAACTTATACTTTATTTTTTTACGCTATATAATCTGCATACATGATCGCCTAGCATAATTGTGAAATGTATCACCTACATTTTATGTGGAATATGCATGATCCATCTATTCTGGGTTAGATCCTCTAATATATAACTATTTTAGTGAAGTATTTCAGAAAGATTAATGAAGCGATCTTGGGGATTCTTGATTCCTAAATACTATAATTACGGCTTTAAAAATTTCTATGCAACAGTTATCCAGCGAGCTTATAGGAATTATAAGAAGAGACCTGAATCTTTGGCAAAACGGATTTGGGAGGCGGTGAGAAATGATGGTGTTCCTGATAGAAAGAAATTCTTAGGTATACCTAGTCATGGACAGATGAAAATAAATCCTATGACGCAAGAAGAATATGCTTTAGATTTAGATAAATTTATTGTCAGGTTTAAAAAAAATAGCAAATACCCTATTAAAAATTATAATCTAGACAAAATGGCTACAACATATAAGGAATATATTTATTTTGATATTAATGGATGGATAGAACAAAAGAAATATCAGTTAAGTCAACGACTAGATAAAGAAGCACATGATCTTGTTAAGGAAATATTAGAACGACAAGGTTACAGAGGAGATTATAGTGCACAATGGGGATTTCAAATTGTTTATCATCTATGGAGATATATGATAGAATCTTTACAGAATCCTGAAAAATATCTTAAAAAATATCTTAAAAAATATCTTTAAAAATTCAACGGATAATAGCAATATTGGGAAAAGATCGGCCAGACAGCTCTTGAAACTTTATGTGTCCGAGTCAACTCTGGATAATAGTATTTTATTCTGTTACAACATAAATTAGCACGTTTTGCGATCCTCGTTAAAGGGTATATGATGTAATGAGTGATACTCCACAAATCATCTGTAACTCTGTGTGACTGCTTGTGCGACAAATCAATTTTCACACATAAGAAATCGATCCCCAAAATATTTCGAATTTTTTCCCTATCTATCTAAATAGCATTTATTTATGAGTTTATTTTCTTCGGAGCTATAGGCTATTCCTACTAGATTCCGACTAGAGTATATTTATATAATGTTACTAAGCCTTTATTACTGAGCGGTCGAGCAAGTGAAATAAAAAAAGTTCGTATATGCATATTCCCCAACGCCTTTGCAATATTGAGATCTACAATGCACATTCCGCATGTCTTTTACTAACGAACATTAAATTTTGGCGTAAAGTGTCTTGCATATTTCTCCTATCTCTCTCCCCAATATGAATGCAAGCCTAGAGGGTCGTAAATGGAGGCATTTAAAAGGGCAGTATAGGTAATTTCTAGCTTTTCTCTATTTATTTGCTTTTCGCGTTATCTCAGTACATTAACATTATTTTATACCTCAAAACTAACCACACAAACATGTCTACCGTAATGTATAATAAGATTTATGAGTTCTTGACAACTGCCGAGAAATGTCAAATAAATGCTATGTCAGTTATTTATCTTGGAATGAAAGAAAACCGCTAGATTCCCCAAACTGAGTTAAAGACAGTTGTAGAACGAGCTGTGTCATCTGCCAGCAATGTATTTGTGGAAGGTTCTTCACGTCAATTAAGAGTTTTCCGAATCCTACCACAGGTTAGTTAAGATTTTTTACAAACATTTCGGATTTTTCATTATATGATGATATTGTGTGATCGTTTACTAAGGTAAACCTGAATAGACAAGTTGTTTTTAGTTTGTTGCTTATGTTCGGTCTACCCATTCAGCTCGCTTACCAGTAAATACTTACACGTAGTAGAGGGGCGTATATGCTATAATCTGTTATGCAGTTTTGTAGTTCACCCTACCAACCTATTATGTGAAAAGGTTATTGTCATGTCGAGAGGTATATTAAGATATGAGTTATTATGTTACTTTGTTAGTATCATATAAAGTTTCATTTGCATGATAGCTACATAAAGATGATAACTTCGCATATATATTGATGATTGTATTATTTTTATGATGAGAACTACTTTTTATTTCTGAAATCTAATGCAATACTTTTTTTAGTTTGACATTAGCTTTGAAGGTATTTATACCTTATACAAAATGAAGGCAATTAAAATGGATAAGAAAATTCCTTTTGGCTCAGATCAGATTGATGATAATATAAATAATCTAAAAGAAAAGCTTAGAAAAGACACTTCATCTCTCTATCAACAATTATATTTTAAAGTAAATGCTATATCTATTCAAAGCTTAACCTGAAAGGATCCTTTGGCCAGCTGAGTTATTAGCGATTAATCATAAGTTGTCAAGCATTTATCATTAAATTTAAAAAAGGCATTTAAGGTAGATAACTTGTTGAAGATTCTTTGAGAATAAATATAACATATTTTTTATATTAGAAATCTGCTCGGCAGATGACACCTACTCCTATAATGATAATTAAAGAGATATATGAAAATTTCATAATAAGTTTTGTTAATCATAACATTCAAAATATAATACTAGATAAACTAATTCACGATGAGTCCTGAAAAGAATCAGAAGAAAAAATCACAGATGTTATAAAAGAAGTTTTAATTCTTCTGAAAGATATTTGAATTAACCCAGCTTTTAATTCTAAACTTGCGAAATCGCTAAATGAAAGAACCTATCAATCAACAGTTATTCTATTGTCTATTCGAGCAATATTAAAAAATCTTTCTTTTAGACTATCCTCATTTATCAGTACTTCAGAATGATAGAGTATTGCTAGTGCAGATAGGAAAGGTGAAGGGCAGGTAAAAAGACGACTAGATATTATATATGTAGTAAAATATTTAGATGTTTTTTTTAAGCTTATGTATGTTGAATATTCGCGATTATACTATAGTCAACAGAAAAAGATAGATGATGAGGTAAAGCTATGGAAAAAAAGTAACAATAGAATATTCTGAGTTCGTAAAGTTCTTAAACCAAAGAAAGATCAATTTGAAATAGTTAGAGTGTAAGTAGCTGGAAATATGTTATATCTGAATGTACTTATTAGAGACAAAACAAACGGTCATAGATATTTTCATTTACAATCAGCTGAAATTCCTATATGATTGTCAGATGTGAGCGTTGTAACTAAATTTATAAAAATTCTTTTACTTTTACAAAATATATTAATTACAAATTTGTCACTACTATATTATACATCTATTTCCATATCAGAAAGACAAAAAGAAGATAGTACTACAGTTTTCACTTCAATGTGAGATGATTAAAGTTTCTTTTTTTTTATAATTTATATTATGTATCATTATTTTTGTATCAATAAAGTATTCTAATGGCTGATTATTTTTACATATTCGTTTGTATTCTAGCAAAATTAAAATTTCTTGGCAAAACCATAAACTAAATTCTCAAAATGAAATCACGTAAATTTTTTTATTTTGAATGTAAATATACAGTGTATAAAATTATTTTTGAAAATGACATCTGAGATTGACTTATTTAGGTAAGAAAACGTCAGACTTATAGCTGAGAATACTGAGTTTAAGGCCAAGTATGACGAGGCCAAAGATGAGATTACAAAACTAAGGGCTGAACTTAGAAATAGAATCAAGGAATTGGAAAAAGCTAGAATAGATACTGCTGTTAAGAATACTAAACGTGATACTGAAAATATCAGGCATGATGCTGAAAATGCTGAGCTTAAAGCTAGAGTTGCAAAATTGGAAGAAGATTCTAAGCATCCATGAAAGGATTCCTCTTCTAAAAAACCTGCTAACATACCTAATTCTATAATAGTAAATGAAACAGTACCTGCCAATTCAAAGTCATTAGAGGAAAGGGCCATGGACTCTTTTCTAGGTGAGGTGAATAAGAAAATAGTTAGTGATAAATTAGGCAGGAGAAGCTTACAAAAGTGAAAACCATTTCTTCTGAAAAAGATAAGCAGATTTCAGTTGACAAAAAAGTACTTCATAAGGAAAATCAGAAAAAACAAAGAAAAAATTCATTTGGGAAGTGACAGAGAAGGTAGACACTAAAATGACTTTAGATAATTTGATACCTTCAATATCTTTCTAAAGAGAATCAGATCCAAGTGCTAATATTATAGAAATTGAAACACTAACCCTTTCTCTTTTGTATAAAAAACGTTGTGATATTGTAACTCTTGCTGATCATGTGACTTAAGAACCTATCTTTTATTACTGCCAATTTGGAAAGCTCTTATCCAGAGGTGAGGTGAGATCGCATCTGAAAAACATGTTGATCTAGAGTCTAATATAATCAGTAGAATTTTAAATATAGAAGTTAAAGCTCAACTTCCTGCAGTTACTTTTGATGCATTTTTAGGAAAAGAATTAAGCAGGTTAAAAAGCTCTATACACTTTTTAATGCAATAGGTATTAATAAAATAAATTAAATTCATTCCTTCTCTACTGATTTTATCTTAAAAATGATGTATGAAAACATCTAGTATATTATAGACAATATGGGCTCTTTGCAATAAAAAGAGAATAAACTACCAAAAAAAATTTTTTAAAGTTAACATTAAATCTGAACTTATTTTATTAAAAATAATATTTAGCTTATAAGTAAAAAAAAATGTTTTTGGTAGTTTCCTCCTTTTCTATTGCAAAGAGTCCATATGTTCTTTGATTATAATATTCATATAAAACCACAACTTCGTGAATTGAATTCACAAAATGATAAGAAAAATTCTGATTTATCATATATCACTAATTCAGTTACGCTTACTGAATCTCAAATTCCCAATGAATCTGCCTCGAAAAAAATTAATACCAAGGTGGTACCACCTATTTTTTAACCTGAAAGTCTAGTTTATGACTGCACCTATTTTCGCAAAAAGATATTGGATCAATATTCTAATTTAAATATAGAATATAGTAGTGAAAATTTCAATTATTATGATATTACTGATGAGACATCATGCAGGAATTACATCTACCTATTATGCGATTAAGTTATGATGAAGAAAAAATAGAAGGTAAGTATAAAGCCGGATCTTACCTTATTAAATGTGAATAGCGTGAAATTGAGATAACTGCATAATCTCATTATTTACAATACTATATTTGCGTTTCTCTTGAGAAACTATTTTTTTACAGGACTAATTTATGTTAACTATTACCAAATTAAATTAACTTACATTCATATAAAAGGAAAATGACTGTATCTGATAAAATATTAACTGCCGAATATCTGGATTGGCATGACAAATTAAGTGGATTACCAAGTATTTTGTCAAATAAGTTTCATTCCAAATTATACAAAAGATATAAAAAAGAAACTGGAAATGAGCTGTAACAACTAACAGAAGTACATGAATCAAAAGTTATAAATTCAAAGCCAGTAAAAGGGTCCATTACCTTTGAAGCCAGACCTGATTCAGAATTAATTATCAAATCAGTCTTAGAACACTTCCTATACTTGAAATTCTGAAATAGTTTTAGGGGAATTGATAATTATAATTTTGCATCACTTCAGCCGTGAAGCTTACCATGTCTTTTTTGTGATGGAAAGCATGAGAATTATAAATTACATAGCTCATGGTATTGCAAAAATGGGAATCAGCTCCCTTATGATCTTGAATTAGCAAAGTTATTATCCTTCTAATGTACATTAGAAGAATATTGTCTTAGCTGTAACTCTTCAAGCAATAAACTCAAGGTCGCGATCATAGCATAGGTCGGTCATGTGAGAAGTGGCTATGCAAAAAATTCTACCGCAGTATATTCAACTATACGCAGTAAGGTTTTTCAGCTCAAAAGAATGTCTGCTAAGCGAAAAAAGAATTTTTTATCTAACTATATATACAGTATCCTCATGAGACGATCAGAGTAATGCATCTGATTATATCAAAGAGTCAGAATCTCAATGAGGTATTAGAAGCGCACAGCGATAAAAAGTGATAAAAGTGCTCACATTTCGGCTTAACGATTATAAAATCATGTGCAACCGAATCAGACATGTGATCTACCTCTGCATTCAGATTGTAATAATTTTGTCAAGAGTAAAATTTTCTCTTACCATGTTTGTTCGTACATGAGTTTTTTAATCAAAAATCTTCTGAGTGGACTATTACTGAATTTTTAAAGAAATGTAAAGAGGAAGCATTCAGAAAGAAAATAGATTCATATCTTAAATCCCTTCGAAACATTATTGACTCTGAACCTGAAGGAAAAAGAAAAGCAAGAGTGCGTAAATTCCTTGACGCGTATGAGACGGCAAGTAATTTTTTTTATTAAAATGTGAATAGGAAATAAGTAGCGTAGCTGGAATTCTTTTTGCTTCTTGCCATTCAAAACTTTTCGTTGAGCTACAAAACCAATGCCAGAGCACAGGAGACTCTTCTCGCTCACCTGTATTCAAGTCTTTTCACCAATCTGACATTAGTCCTATTGGGGCACAGGAGACTCTTTTCGCTCACCTGTGTTCAAGTCTTTTTGCCGACCTGATAGAATAAGAAATTTGTTATAATAAATTGTAAAAATGTATATCAGTTGAGAACTAATTCCTAATCTTTCATTATAGGGTGTTGACCAAAAAGTTGCTAAAAACTGGGAGAAAACAAAAATGAGTGACGTGCCTTCGATTAACGTTTAAAACCCAACAATTTTAGAAAGTAGATCTATTTATGGCGGGATAATTTACGGCAAGACGATTAATGGCAGAACTAATAATATGTTCATTTCAAAAAAAAGAGATTGGGAAAAGGTATACATAAGCATTTTTTTTAGCTAGAAATTGTGATGATCAGCAGAAATATCTAATGTTTTAACTGCGAATTTATTTTAATATTATTCCTTATATTTATGTAGGATTTAAATAACGAGATTGAAAACTTCTTTTAAAGTCCTTCTGAATGACAATCACCCAATTTGTTTAGGGAAGCAGAACATGACATTTCCAACAAAATGGTCAACGAGAAAGGCGAGGTATGGTATTTATACAAAGTGAATTGTTCGGTTATCACTATTCATAACAAATAAAATCAGGAATACATATTCTTTATCTTGCTTTCACTCTTTGTAGATTGTTCATTAGACAGAAAAACATAAGCGAGATGAGTCTCCTCGTTGCCTTAATTGTAACGCAGAGTAAACGTGATAAATAAATTAAACTTTATTATTACAACGGATAAACAATATTCATTTTTTTTTATTTCTTTAGATTAATATCTCTATCTTTAGATCAATCAGATTTTGCCCGTTCTGCGAAACTAATATTGTATCATCTGAAGATGAATTGTCACCTGATTATGATAATACAGATGAGGAAAATGATGTAAATTATAGGGATAAACAAGATGATACCCCTCCAAAAGTCAATAAGTTTGCCTTTCGCATGGCTTATAAGGCTATCCCAGACAATTCAAAGTTGTGATTGAGCACAGGCACAATAATGGAGAACGTTCTCTTCGAATTTGCAAAGGACATAGACTATAAACAGTAAGTTTCTTAAAATTTATATCTTTTCCGTTCATGACATTGACATACTATTATTATAAGTCATGCCCATTCATACATTGTTGACTTTGACGATGAGGATATCAAAGCGTTATTTGACAAGAAGGAGTAGAAAGAATTAACAAAAGATCAAATTGGAGTTCCACCAGTTCTACACGACATTGCAAAAGAACTAACGAAGTATGGAAAAAAAACATTAAAAAAATTACGTGCTGTAGTAATGATTCCATACCTTAAAGAGAAGGAAGAATACAAACTAGAATGGATCCAAATGGCATTGCAAACACTTTGCAACCTGTATAAAAATGTGGATGCTCCAATAATTAGGAGCCAATATGAAGATTAGTTCACAGTTGCACTTTTTGGAGCGTGCATTGATTCTGCATTAGAGATATCCAATTGGATACTGACATTAAGAGGTTTTAATCATATTTAATAGTAAATTATCATAAACTTTGTTTTTTCAATGTGATTAATCATTTATCATCACTGCTTATAGAACTGATGCACCATCACTGAGTAGTGCAAACAGGAAGAACCGTGACTGAAAAGTAAATACACATAGAAGAAAACTTGTCAGTCGTAAAATTGATGGAATAATATGTACCATTGATAAACTTCTTGAAGTTGGAGCCATCGAAGGAGCAAGATCCTATTCAGGAGTTTCAGACCAAAAATATTTTATCGAGAATTTTAAGATGCCGAAGACTCTCTGCGACATGTATGCTGATCTAATGAAGACCGTAGATTATAATGATCAAAAAGCAAATAAAATTCAAGTAATTGGCATTTTACACCTCGGGTTATAGATTCAATTCGCTAGGTTGTGGCATGCTGGTGAGTCGATTTGCATTTTTTGCAAAGACCCTCTATCTTATAATGTACAGGGGGGTGAAATAAATATTGAATAATTTTTATTTGATATTTATTTATATTTATTTGCTACAATAAATTCGTATAATATATTTAATATTTAGTATGACCTCCTTTAGCAGAAATAACTGCATAGATTCGAGAAGGCATTGAATTAATAAGTTTTCGATATATTTCTTTAGGAATCGACTTCCATTCTTCAATAACCATTTTTTCTAACTCTTGGATGTTAGATGCTCCGGGTTTACGTTTTCGAAGTCCAGACTCAACAATTGACCAAAGTTCTTCAATAGGATTAAGGTCAGGACTCTGAGGTGGCCATGACAAACGTTCTACTTTACTTGAAAGAAGAAAATCTTGTGCGATTTTTGCTGTATACACTAGTGCATTGTCTTCTTGAAAAATAAGCTTTTTTTTGACTTTTCGTAATTGTTCTTTAAGGGTTGACACAGCATAAGTTTCAAGGATTTCACGATAGGTTTTACTAGTAACAGAACCAATTAATGGAATAATAGGTTCGAGACCAAACCATGAAAAACAGCTCTAAAATATTTGTTTAGGACTGTATTTTATGGTCGAGGCGATACAATCTTCATTAAATTCTTCTTCAGATTTTTGCCAAACTTAATCCCAACCTGAGGTTTGAAACTGAGAAAAGGTAGATTCATCTGACCAAACTACTTTTCTCCAGTCAACCATTGTCTAATTTTTATGCTGTTCTGCGAAAGCAAGTCTTTTGATTTTATTTGCAGAAGAAATCAATGGTTTTGGATGAGGCATGCATGATCGAATGCCTTCTATCCTTAATGTTTTTTGAATAGTTCGCTTGGATACTTTTTCACCTTTATTTTGTTTTATAAAAAGCTGACAAACTTCTTTTAAACTTTGGTACCTAGAATCTTTATTATTAAGAACAGCTTTTAACAATTTTTTCCGTTTTTGCACAGTCATTATTTGGGGATGACCTGATCGTTTATTAATAGTTTGATTATTTTTTAATACTTGAGAAACTGTTGCCTGAGAACACTCAACAATTTCTGCAGTTTTTTCTTGCGTAATACAAAGTTTTTGGCATGCAAAAATTGCACCTCTTTGCTCCGAAATAATCTCTTTTGCAAGACTCATTTTTTGCGAAAAATTGCGAAAATTCTGAAAAATTTTAAAAAATTTAAATCAAAATAAACAAATAAACAATCAATTTATCAATAAAAACAAATCTATTTTTGATTAGAAAAGCATTATAAATTACTATATTTAGCTTTAATTAATAAATTTTCATATAAAATTGATGTAATAAATCTTCGCAAAAAAATTATTCAATATTTATTTCACCCCCCTGTACCTATCAAATAGCTGAAAAATAAAAGATCTCAAAGAACAGTTAGAGAAACAATATAATCAATTAACAGTTGTTGAATATAATCATAAAAGAGCAATATTTGAATATCTTACCTTATTAAATAGTAATAACAGATGTAAAAGAGTTAAAATCAGCTTAGAAGTTGCTCAAAATATTTATATTAATGGTATATAAAAAGTGTGAAAACTCTAAAATCTTACAAAATATTGATTACTTAATAATAAACTTTCAGCATCTAGACGTGGAAAATATCAAAAAATAATTAGAGTAATTGATGATGAAGATGTTGCAGAAAGATGTCACATTTGGATTCGAAAATAAAATTTTAATACTATACCAGCCATATTTAAAAAATTTGTTGAAGACGAATTGTTTTCTAGTATTGGAATTGCTAAAAAAAAATCTATTGCTTTAATGAATGCAACAAGATGTAAATAAAAAAATTTAAATATATTGTCACCGTAGAATTCTCCAACTCGAGGTGGTCACGTTATCAAGTCTCTACTCGAAATTTCTTAACTACGGCTTTACTGCGGTCAAGACGTTAGGATCCGCCTAACTCTTAACTTTACTAAATCTACGCGTTGAACTTAAACAAATCTATCAAGTATGAAGACTTGAAAGACGAGATTACGAACAATTTTAATTAAAGAATTCCAAATGACGAACTCAATTACAAATAATGTGTAGGGATCACGTCAGACTATATGAAGACACGAAGAGGCAGAAAGATATAAGTTTTAAATTGATTCCTTTATTAATATTGAAACTCGTATTCACAAAAGAGTTTGTAAATCTGCAAAAGAGTTAATTTACAACATGAGCAAAAAGTCTATCTATTTATACAAAATTTCTTTTGTCACGGCTAACTAATTACTATGCTATAAACTAACTAATTTAGCAAAATAAAATATAAGTAAAATAAATACATTGAAAATAATAAAGATACATAAAATAATAAAAATATAAAATAAAATAAATATAATAATAAAACTTAGAATATTAGAAATACGTATAACACCAAATATTCTTAGACTTCATTTAATTATGATTATTATTAATATTTGGAAGATCTTCAGAGTTACGCAGATCCTCCGTATCTTCAGAATTCGCAGAATTCTCAGTATTTTCAGAATTCTGAATTAAGAGATCGTCATACTGCGTCATTTACGTGACTTCATTATGATTGGTTAATTGCTCTGTTGACAACGTGGTTTTCTAAAACAATGTTGTCTAATCTATAAAAAAAATCAGATGAATCAAATCTTTTTGACTGGTGGTTAAAATCCCTAAGAAGGAAATCAAACGTAGTAATTAAATGATGACCTGAGAAAGAGATTAGTTGATCTAAAAAATATAAGTTATGATTAGTGAGAATATTATTATATTATTTCAATAAACTACTAGAAAGGATTTTTGTGATGGATTGGGTGCCTCCAGTAATTTTATTTATGAGGAGAGGGAAAACATTAAGAGAAAGTTTTGATGATGAAGAGTTAATAAGGAAGAGGGTGGCACCAATTAAGTTTCTATGTGAACTTTTGTTAAAAGAATGTGACCAATAATTTAGGGGGAATGTAATAAGAACATTGTTTGACTGTAGTTGGTAAAGTCGAATTAAAGAGATGTTCTTATAAAAGGATGAATTATTAAATTGGTAAGTAAGAGCAGTTGAAAGGGATTTGATTTGCAATGACCAGAGGTCACTTAAGTTATAGAATTGTTTGGAGTTCAAAAGGGTGTTAGGGAGGGTAAAAGTGAATTTGTTTTTATGTTTGAAAAGTGAATGTATAGGAGCGAAAATTTTATGACATTCATTTTTTGAAAGGAGTGTCAGCTACATGCGATATTCAAGCAGGAGACACAAAACTATATTAATAATGTACAATAATTATTTGTCTATTAATGGTTGGTATTTCATAGAGGTAGCGAAATAGTTTACGTCAAACACGAGCTGCTTTTTGACGAATGATTGAACTCTCTGACTGTTAATCCATACACCTAGGAAATGTACTGATCCTTCTTCAGGGGTGATATCAATAATAGTTAAGCCAAATTTGATAGAAACAGGTAGGATATCAACTTGGCGAGTCATCAATAGTTTCAATTTGTCTTTGTTGAGTACAGATCTGGTGAGACTATAAAATTTATCTGCAATGTGTAAAATTTCTTCTAAATCTTATTTGGAATTAGCCACCCAGTTTGTATCATCTATGAACGTAAGTGACGAAATGGAGGCTAATATGGTGCTGGTATTCATGGAGATGATGTCAGAAATCCAAGTATGCTCAATTGTATATCTTTTATTTAGGGAATCTACTTCGCAGAGTAAGGGGTCTAGGTAGATATACCATACTAAAGGGGAAATAACTTCTTCTTGGTTGATACCTATCTTGACATCGTATAAGTCAGTGATTTCCTGTGCGGTAAATATAACATTTCTTCTCGACATAAAGAGGTTAATGATGAGTTCAGTAGCTAACTTAGGGACTTTGATTCTGTTTAGTGCGAGACAAAGGTAAGACAAATCTACGCGATTGTAGGCTTTAGAAAGGTCTTGTAGAAGAATCCAAATTTCTTTATTATTTTCGATAGCATCCTCTAATAGCATATTGATAATTTTTATAGGTGATTCCGTTGAACCTCCTGGCAATTCAACAAAGTTTTTTTCTTTGAGAATGTTATGGTTAGCTAGTATTTGAGAGAGTCTATTGGTGATGATTTTAACAAGGCCTTTACACGCAGTTTCAAGTAATGTAATAAGTCTGGTTTTGGTTATGTCACATTCCCATTCTATAGGTTTGGGAATGGGATATATGTGAGCGATTTTCTATTCATTGGGAATGTCACCTATAGTAAAGCACATGCAGATGAGTTTCCAAAGAAGTTGCTGAAGCTTATCTCCAAGATAAGCAATCATTTCATTGGTGATGCCAGAGGGACTAGCTGCTTTGTTATTGAGAAGTATTTTAAGGACAGCAAGCTATTCATTGTATATAAGAGGTTGCATGAGATTGAAATAGCGTTATTTATTGATGTAGTCCTTAGGTTTGTATTGTACAGACCATCTGGAAGACATAGAAAACACGGGGGTTGGGGAACAGCGAAGTTTTAGAAATGATCAATTGTGACTTTCTTGATTTCTTCTGATTCGATAGTGAAATATTTATCGTCTGATTCCTTGTCTGTGATGAGCAATCTATCGAGCACTATAGATCGTTTCTTCTGATTCAAGATAGAGGCAATCATTCTGAAGGGGTCATCTTGCAGGTTGTTACATCATTTGTTTATAAAGGACTTAATAGCTGATTCTTTTATTTTTTGTGTTTCAATTTTAGCTAAGGCTATTAAAGATTTGTGGAGATCCTTAATTTTTAATTTTACGTTATTGATATTGTCAATATGCAGAGAGGAAGGAAAGTAACACATAAGAAGTTTCAATTCTGTAATCAACTTTTCCATATTGTCTTTGATATGGGACCATTCGAGGGGTTCAGGCTAACAGTTTGTACTTAAAGTGAGCTTTTAAACTGAAGGAGAAATGAGCCAACTTTTCTGGCTGCAATAAAGGAGGGGGCTGATCAAAAGGTCATTTATTTCTTTGTTTTGGGGAAATCCAAACTTGAGGTATGGCATATCTGTTGACAGCTAGGACGGCAGCTTTTATATTTGTCCATAGGGTGTTCATATTGCATCTATTAGTAGAAAGGTTCAATAGGTGATTCAAGTTGTGACATCTATAATGAAAATTAGTGTGCACAGCGAATTTATTTCATTTGGACGGGTTTATAGCTCTTAAATTGAGAACTTGTCATTTATTTTGTAAGGTATGACCTCAAGCATTTGATTGCATATGACAATCAGTGAATATTGTGAGATGATTTTATGGTCAGATAAATAGAGAACTGGCTAATCCAGGTATGAATAAAGGAATTCTGAAGTGAAGTTGGGTGAGACAAAAATGGTGTCAATTCTTGAACTACGTGAACTTGAGTGGTATGTGAGTTGGGGTGTATCATGACAAACGCCATAAAGGTCTAGGAAGTTCAGTGTGAAAAGCTATTTGTAGAAGTCCATTTGCTAGTGTAGGGCTTTGCTATTGTTAACTTGTGACCAGTAAGTATCAAGATTCACATTGAAGTCCCTTAGGATTACAGTCTTAAAATCCGCTCTGATGCTATCATAAACATATTTGATGATTACTTTGTGTAGGTTGAGCCATTTCGTCTTGGTATCAGATTCAGTTGAAGTATATAAATAAACACAGAAGATGCGAAGTTTGGTATGCCCAGATAAATACAAGTCTATATAGATAAATCGATCATTATCCAGATAGGCTTTTGGATGTAAACAGCTCAAGATTTTTTAATAAGGATGCTAACTCTGGCGTGTGAGTTAAGGTGAGTGCTCCAAAAAGAAGTGTAATTAGGGTCGTATGTGTACTGAAAGGATTGGTCAGACTTGTGTCGAGTTTCAGTAAGACCTACGAAATTCATATTAAGATCTGTAAATGTATCGTTAATAAATTGGTTTTTAATTAGACATTGAAGTGAATTTACATTATGGGTAGCAAAAGATAGAGTAGGTGTGCTTTTTGAATTAGTTTGATTATTGGTGGAATGTTCTATATGTATATTGTTGTAATTATTATTTTTATCGATATTTGTATTATTACGAATCATGATTATGAGTTAGGTAATGAGTGAAATTATTGTGGGAAAGAATCAGATGGTTTTTACACCTGAGCCATGATTTTGAGCATTTGAGCATTAACGAGCTGTAACTGCTTCTGTTGTTCAGTGATAACAGAGGCTTGTTCCTTAATAATTGCTTGTGTTTTAACATCAATGGAAACTGGTGACTTATTAAGGTCTTCATCTGAAGAGGAATTGGCAATACGAATTCTTTTTTGGGGGGTAGAGGTAGACGCAGATTGTTGCGTAATAGGTCTGTTATTTAGAGCGCTTGATAGTAAAGAGGAAGGTAAGGTAAGGATAGTTGATTGAGCCTTTTCAAGCTTGACAATGCGAGTTTCAAGATCAGTCATAGCCTTTTACATGCTCACGAGCATGCTGAGGATTTTGTCTAGCTTATCATTAGTCATGTTGCTATTATTATTGAGATTGTGGACTGAGTCATCAATCAAAGAGCCTGCGGGGCCTTTGTCTTTAGCTTTGCCTTTATCTGTTGCAGAATTGTTTCCTTTTTTATGAAGGGATGACTGTTTGTGATTGAATTGACAGTCATTGTGTCTTGTGATCAAGGATCTGGATCCTGCTAACTTGAAGTAATTGTATAGTTTTTGAACAGAGGAAAGCTTATAAATTGAAGTTTTAGGTTGATCGACAGGATCGTTGTTTACTGATGAAACAATTTGGAGGCATTTCATGACAATGTAATTTGGAGAACCACATTTATAACAGCATCTCGCATCGGTTGAGTACCATTGGAGTTCATTGTCACCAAACGCAAAAGATTGTTTAACAGTATTGTTAAGGTCTGCCTCTGTTTTGAAGTAAAAGACTGCGAAGGGTCAAGGTTTATAATTATTTGAACGCGGAATGTAGAGGGCTTTAGCTTTGGTAGTTAAGGTAATGTCTTGCAGGTTCTTAGTGGAGGTATTGAAGGGTAAATTGGTGAGTCTCATTTTAATATAATTACATTGTTTAACTTGTTCAGGGATGAGGCAGGCCGAATATACCCAGACGCAATCATTGTATATAAATGTGACTATTGAGTATAGAAAAGATCGATACTCTTAGAATCTTCATAAGTGATGTAAGCTTGCTACCAAAGATCTCTGGTGAACATTTGTACAGTAACTATCTTGCTGTATTTAGCAAATATGTTGGTGAGCTGTTCTTTTTTTTAGTTAAGATAGATATCAGTAATACGAAGTGTGCGTTAAGGGAACTGCATATTTTCTTTGTAAGTCGCATACTAAACCAGCTGGTTGATATCTAAATTAGGAAATTTCGCATTAAGGGCTGATTTTATAGATTGCTGATTATTAAAGTAGATCACGATCGACCGAACAAGGTTAATGTAGTAGACATTAATTTCTCTGAACGCATCGTTGAAGGCGAAGTGAGCATTAACAATCTTTGAAATAGTAGCAGTAGGGAGGTCCTTAGGGCTTTTGGGAATGGTTGCTGCGCAAGCAAATGAAGTTGAACAAGTAATAACTGTGAAGTCTTTGTTTTGTTCATTTTCATATTAGGGTCGTCTTTTATGGGAAGGTATTCATCTTTATCTAAGACGTTGGGGGAATAGGAGTTAGTGATTTAAAAAAGTTTTTGATAAGAGCAGCGTCTGAGGCTGAGAACGGGTCAAGCTATTCTCTAGAGCTAGAGGTTAAAACAACTGGTATCTTGGGAGTTTGTTAGTGTTCTGTTGGGTTGAAATGATGCTTGTTTTTCATTGATGCTTATTTGTTTTGGTTTTTTCTGACTATAGTAAATAAAAGTAACTTCTAAAATAAACTCTTTCCCAGTTGTGAAAGTATATTTGAGCTGTTGTAAAACTATAAGACTAACTAACAGAGTTAAAAATATAATAGGACTTTAAAGATGAACGTTTTATTTTCTTAGACTTTATTTTTGAAAAGTGATCGATGGGAAAGAGTTTTCCATGATAGAAGAACTTGAAAAAGAATGTCAATTATAAAATATTAATTTTACTAAAAAAAATAATCATATTCGATGTTTTGCACATATTATAAATTTAGCTGTATAAAGTATACTTATTTCTTTAAAAGCTAATTATTTAGAAAGTGAAATTAAAATACTTTATAATAAAGCAATAAATAGCGTAGTTTCAAAGGTAAATAATATATATATTTTTAAAATTTTTAAAATTAATTTCTTGTAATTTATATTATATTTATTTATATAATATAGCTTTATAAATTCGTTGTTAAAATTCAAGCTTTACCTCAATGTTATGAAATTTTTTTACGTCAATGTGATGCAGTTTCTCTTTTTATTAAAGAACTAATATTAGATGTAAAAATAAGATGGAATTCTACTTATGATATGATTAAATGTAGTTTTGAATTATGTGAAATTAATATTTTAGATTCATTATTATAACTAAAATTGTATAATTTATTAATTATTATAATTATTAAAGGCTTTAAATAATACAGAATCATCTGAAAGAGAATTAAGATTATATGTTTTAAATAATTTTAAATGGAATTTATTAAAAGAAATAAAGAAATAAAAAATTTATTAAAGGTAAGAAATAATATAATTAATTTTATTATATTATTATTTTTTTTAATTAATTTATTAAATTTATAGTATTTTGCATAAGCAACAAAATATGTTTCACATAAAAGTTTTTCAACTTTAATAATTACTATACCAATCTATAATTGGATAATGAATATGATTGAAGATTTTCAAATAAAAACTTTAATAACAGAAATAAATACTGTCATTGCAGTAGCATTAGAAAATTTAAAAAAATATTATCATCATATAAATTCTAATGCTTATCCTATTATTACTAGTAAGTTTATATTTTTATTTATTAATTTTAATTTATAAATTATTAATTTATTATTATTAATTTATAGTACTTGATCCAAGATTAAAATTATTATATTATATTGATAATCATCGGAAAGTGAATTTTATTGAGAAATCATACGAAATTTTTATTTTTTATTTTAATATGCATTATGCACTATTGATGATAGATTTAAAAAATCCAAATGAAAGTTCTAAAGATGATGATTTATTAAATTATATATATAAAAGATAATGTGTAAAAAATATTAATAAAATAGAACATTATCTTAATGCTTTACTTGCATCTTCAAAGACTAATTTATTACAATAATAGAAAGTAAGTAATATATTTTATTAATAATTTTATATTAGTTTTAAGCTTATTAATTTTATTTTTTTTTTTTAGTTAAATGAATTATTATATTCTTATTTAACAAAAATAACAAAAGATTTTTAGCTATTTTAGATGAATAAATTTAAAATTTTATGAAACTTTTATAATTTTAATTTAATCAATTTAATTTATTTATATTTACTGTATTTTTTAAGCTACTAGTGTTTTGATAAAAAAAGCATTTTCTAAGGGAACTGATCTAATTATACAAAAAAGATGTAATCTATCAGTAGAAATAATTAGAGTGTGTATGTGTTTTAAATCTTAGTGAAAAACTGTTTTAAAGAAAATATAAAAATTCTTTATTTTGTGTTTTTTTTAAATAAATAATTTTATATTATTTTTTTTTATGATTTTGATTTAATAAAATAATATATAAAATTTACAATATAATATAATTTAAAATAAATTTTTATTAAAATTTGACTCGAAACTTGATTTGAACTTGACTCAACTCGTATAAATTCAAGTTAAAATTGAGACAAACTCAAGTTGAGTCACATTGAGTCGAGTTTAAAATTTATATAACTTGAATCAAATCAAATTGAAAGATTTTATAAATAAACTTGACTCAACTTAACTTGAAAAAATGATTTGAATAAAGTTAATCTTTAAACTCAATTTAACTTGACTTATTCGGAACTCTAAGCTTAAAAAATATGTTAATGATGCTTGAAAGAACATTCCTTTAGATTATTATAAAAATTGTCAATAGTATGCTATGAAGGATCGAATCGATTATTATCACAAATAATAATAAAATTAAATATTAATATTAGAATTTTTTGTAAAATTATATAAATAACAATAAAATGTTTATTTTATTTTCAATATTTTTGTTTATATAATTTTTTTTATTTAAAAAGTGTTTGCATAATTTTGATTGACATTTGTATTTTGATTTCTTTAAAAAAAAAATATTAGAAGTTGATCATACAGAGTTTTATTTATGCATTATGCGGAATCAAAAATTATTTCATTAGGTATAAAGGCAGGTTATCTTATAAATATCAATTTTGAAATTTTATCAAATCAGAATAGTAATATTCAGATGATTGTTAGATATTATTAATTATAAATTAGAAAGTTATGTGTCATTATCTGTTTATAATGAAATTGGATTTTGAAAAATAAATACACTAATGATAATAATGAAAAGAAATGAAAAATTAAGAGTAAAAATTAATTTATAAATATATTTTTTTTAATATTTGTTTATTAAATCTATATTTATTTTTTATTTTATAGTCAGGATATTATGATTCTAAAGGTAAAATATTCATCGCAAAGGTTTTGGCAAATTTGTTTTTAAAAACAAATATTTTAACATTTGAAATGAGCAAATCTCTAAAGCCAGCAGTTTCGTTAATTTATAAATATAGTATAATATTACACAAATCAATTTACATCCATCCAGCGCAATGCCCGATAGAACCTCCAAAATTTGACATTTTAGATGTATTAAATGCGATATTTTAATAAAATATATATTATTTTTTTTTTTTTAAAAAAAAAATTTTGGGAATTTTACAAGCTATAAAAAAAAAAAAAAAGATTTGCATAAAAAAAAACTAGTAGAAATAAAATAATTGAAGTAAAAAATATATCTTATATATCTATCTATATATATTGTTTAATTTTCGACGACTCATAATTTACAATTCAATTGTCACGTATAATCGTGTTTATTACCATGGAACATTACTTGGATCCCATGGCTTATTTTGTTGTTGTGCTGGAGCACCCCAGGTGTCAGAATTAGGAGGAGGATCGTTCCTTACTTCATTTTCCATTTGAACATTACGGAGTTGATTCCTTTGATTTTTTGGTGATTCAGCATTTCGATAATTATCGTTATTGGAATCGTCATACCTGTTCGTATCATCATTATTGTAATGATTTTGTCGGGGACCATTGTTTGGGGGATTCCCGTAGTTACCTGATCCATATGACTGTGGCGTTGGCGCATTATAACCATACGATTGTTGTGGAGTCGTATTATATTGGATATTTGACTTTGGCAGATTGACTTTAGGTGATGTACCACCGCCATATTGAGGTTGTGAAAATTGTGACGGCGATTGCGGAGGAGGTTGATTTGCATATGGTGGCATACTTTGTTGCTGAAACGATTGATATGTAGGTTGAGGGGGCAGTTGTTGTGGAGAAACATTATTAGTAGACCAACCATCGTTTTGAACCTGCGGGAATGGAAAATCGTTTGAATCGGTTGGATAAGTAGAGTTATTAACTAAAAGAAGGAAGTGATTAAAGGAGTGTCATTGATATTCAATACCGTTGAGGAAGTCACAGGCTGGTTGACCTCCCATGAAGGTTTACCATCCCAAGTATTTTGGGCATCCCAACCAGATTTTTGTTGCTGTTGCCCCCAAGTGTCTTCTTGTGTACTTTTGGCTGTTGATATGTTTTCAGTAACGAAATCATCATCGTCGTCATCAAATCGCCTTATTATTTATTAGGTAAAACATATAATAAGCAAATCATTTATAGAAATATCACAAACAAAATAGTTAATAGTTGGTGTATGACTTAATTACATATCCTGCGGCTTATATGACAGTAAAAAATCAGGAACTTCTTGATTGCACTCTACCAGAATCTTTACTAGTTCGGGAGCAATATCCGCGTTTCGTTCGTTATAAAAGGTTGTAGCCAGCCCTTGATTACCAACACGAGCCGTTCTTAATGATTCAAAATTTTTATTATTAAACTCAATTTTTTAAATCATTACATTAAGAAATAAATATATGTACCTTCCAATCCGATGAACGTATTCATCTATATCGTTACAAAGATCATAATTTATGACATGCATTACATTTTTGATATCAAGGCCCCGAGCTGCCACAGCCGTAGCAATTAATATGGGTGAACGTCCATTCCTAGTATAATTGTGAAGTTTTTAACATTAATAATTTAAAAATCAACTATATTTGTGAGATACTTACTTAAAAGATATTAAAGCATCTTCTCTTTCTCTTTGTGTGCGATCCCCGTGAATACTCGTCGTTGGAAAATTTTGATTATATAAATAATCATCGAGTGAGTCCGCTCCACGTTTTGTCTCAACAAATATGAGTGTTCGAGATGGTGGTTGTTTTAGTAATAACTCGACAAGCGAATTACGTTTGCCTTGATCTTCAACGTACATAATCTATATTTTTATCAATTTGTTAACAAAACTAACAAGTATGTATTAATAAATAATAATCAAACTAAATCTAACCTTTTGAGTGATATCGCTAGTAGTACTACCCAATCGACCAACTGTTAAGAATATGTATTTTTCTGCCAAAAAATCTTTAGCAAGCGAACGGATAGACTTTGGAAATGTGGCAGAAAACATAAGGGTTTGTCTTGTTCCGTCGTCACATAAATCTAATTGAAAATAACACGTTAGCAAAATACATCAATTCATAAATTATCTTGAATATAAGTTCTGACCTGATTTTTGAACGATTTTCCTAATGTCATTTTCAAACCCCATATCCAACATACGATCAGCCTCATCAAGTACCAGATATCTTTAATGTCAAAATTTATAACAAAGCCCAAAGTTTAAAAAATATTGGTAAATATTTAAATATATTCAATAATCTATAAACTTACTTGACTCGACGAAGGCTAATAAAACCTCTTTCAACAAAATCATTTAATCGACCTGGGGTTGCCGTTAAAACATCGCAACCCTTTGCTAATTCATTTTTCTGTGGAAGTGATTCTGCACCTCCATATACAACACTAAATCATTAAAAAAAAAATGGTTAAATATTCAACATAATTAATTTCTCTTTAGAAAGATAATCGTTATTTTATGTTTCAAAAATGATTTCAATAATATAATAAATTTAACGAACCAAGGCCTCATCATGCTTCTATAGGTAAATCGACGACATTCATCAAATATCTGAGTGGCCAATTCTCGCGTAGGGGCAATAATTAGAACCAAAGGTTCAGCTTTGAATCTACGTGCACCGGGTGGAGGGCGAGGAGCTGCAAGCTTTTTCGCTTTTCCAAAAAGCTTGGATAATACAGGAATGAGAAATGCAGCAGTTTTACCAGACCCTATCAAAATTTCATATTATTAAGGATAACGAGGCAGATAAATTAAAATCAAAATAATAATAATACAAAAAAATAAATACCAGTTTGAGCGCAAGCCATTAGATCGTGTCCTTCAGTAATAATGGGTATTGAATATTTCTTTTGAAGAATATAATATACATTAATCATAATTTTCGGAAAATACCATTTATATAATTGGTAATTATTATAATACCTGAACCGGTGTAGGAACTGTGTACCTAGCTAACTTAACATTTTCTTTCATTGCTGAATGAAGGTTAGCATCGTCAAACTAACAAATGTAATGGCCGATATATTAAAACTACGATTAAAAAAGAAAATATCTCTATACCTAACAAGTATAATTAAAAAAAATATTGTCGCAAACTTACTGTGGATACTGGAGTTATTATACCCTCGGGTTTGACACTAACTTTAATTGTTGAATATTTGGTAAAGTTAATTCCTGTGTGAACGTGATTTTCTTCTCCAAAAAGTTCATTCTCTAATTCTTGATCTCTGGGAGCGACTCCGTCATCATAAGAGTCATTCCACTCATAACGACGCCGGAGTGCTGCCCACTGACGATTTGGATCAAGGTTAGGAGCTTGCCGTGGACCCCAATTTCCAACGCGCTTAGAACCGTCTTGAGGATTATTATTCATAATGTTTATCTAAGCTGAATATTTAACGGATATTATAAATTGATAGTTATTTTTTAACGTAATGTACTATAAGTGACATTAAAAATGTCACTAGATGTGGATGGTTGCCAATGTTATTTATTATTGTTTTAAATATAATTTTAAAAATTCACCTTATATAAACTCTTCTTTCGAGGATATTTACCACCACGAGTCAGACCACCAATATTTTAAAAGGCCGGTAAAAGAAATAAAAGTACTTATATAAAAAAGTAAAAATATATATATATATATATATATAATATAATTTAAAAAAAGGGATCAATATAATTTTTTTAATCCCAAGAAAAAAAAGAACGTCTGTATATCATTCAATACACGTTTGTGATGGTTTAAGGAAAAACAAACTTGTCATATGCTTTCGCATAAATTTGACGTCACGAATTATATAATAATATAGTGATATGCATTAAAAATCAAAGAGAAACCTCAATAGATTAGAAAGTTTATAATTAAAATATTACATTTAAAATTAAATAGATATGCATTTTATTTTGATATTATTATATATAATTTTTTTATATTTCTGAATGCAGTAAAAAAAAGATGAACTGATCATATAGTCAGATTTATTTATAATTAGTAAAAAATAAAGTGAAATTATAAATATAATGTAATTAAATATATTATAATATAGTTATCAAATTTGTATTTATATATTTATATTTGTTTTGTTTAATTTAAAAAATATAATTGAATCTATATATTAATTGGAATTTTAAAAATTAATAAAATTAATTTAAATCTTAATTATTAATATATTTTGTTTAATAATATGTATTTAATATTTCTAAAATCTTATATTTTCTTCAAGATATATCTTTACAAAAAGTACTAAAAAAAATGATAATTTTAATATAAATTATCAGTTACTAATATTTTTTACTACTTTTACTACTTTTACTACTTTTGCTACTTCTGTTACTTCTACTACTTTTACTACTTTTGTTGCTTCCACTACTTTCACTACTTCCACTACTTCCATTAATTCTAGTATTACACCTATTATTCAATTATCTATCTTTTTTGTATTTCAAATTTTTTTAAAAATAAATAAACTTTTAAATATATATTCTTCTGAATTAAATATTTTTGATGAACAGTAGCCTAATATGAGAAAAAATTGGCTGAATGTATTTAGAAATCATGAAAAGAATTAAATAAATAGAAGGATATAATTCGAAAACTAACATCTCTTGAAAATTATTATTCAGATTTTTCATTATATTTAATCAGCTTTTTTGAAAGTTTATATAGAGAGATTTTGAAAAATAAGTTAAAAATATCAAATGCTTAATTAAAATCTTAAAAAAATCATTAAAACAACTTAATAAACAACAAGTGATGAAAACGGTTACCTTTTTTGTTTCAGTATTAGTTAGAATTACATTTTTAGGTTTACAAGTTTAGTTTACCCAAGTATTTACAAACCTTAGTTGTAAATCAAAACTTATTCAACAATTTTGTCATTTTCTTTTTATTTTACAAATAAGTAAACATACTGATGATCAAGAAAGAAGACTAAAAAAAATTGAATAAAATCTATAAATCTATATTAACGCCTTAATAAAAATGAAAATATTTAAATTTAACTATTATTGATAATATAGATTTCAAAAAGCAACTTTTAGATATAGAAATATTTTTAACACAATATGTATCAATACACATACTACACTTAGAATAATTTTTCACATTAAATGCCTTTTGATTTGCATGAAAATATAAATGATAAAAATTAAATTAATTCTCCATTAAAATTATTTGGTATGAATCAAACAATTAGAAATATTTTAAATACCTTTGATTTTATTTTGGATGATCTTCTTAATGTTAAAATAAATTCATAAGGAATAGCAATTTATCAAACAAATTTCAATATAAATATTATACATGAAAAAATTTTGAAATGTGTTAAACATGAATATAAAGTAGATCTTTCAAATATAGTAATTTTAGAATCTAGTAAAACTCTAAAATTCAGATGAAGGTATTTTTAAATTTATATAAATATACAAATAAGCCTAGAATTAAAATCAGAGAAATATTTAGACATAGTTAGTAATAAAGCAATCTTTTAAAGAATGTTTACAGTAGCGGTCATAAGTATCTGACCGCCCGAGATCGTCTAAAATTATTATATAACTACCCCTTAAATTTTCCAGAAATATAATATAACACAATACATG